ACAGTTGCATTTTTTAAAAAGCTGTCTTTGTCTGTCCCTTTGATTTAAACTTAAACTATGGTTTTGATTTGGAAGCACTTAAATGCTTCTTTATTCACTTCCCACCCTTGTTTTCTTGCATATTTTAAAGTTGGATGAATTATTTTAGTTTTAGGTCATAATATTCCTATTATGGTTAGAAGACAAGGGCAAATATTATTCAGTAAAGTATCATCTTCATTGACTTTTAGGATAAAAATGGTTTAGAGTTTTTTTTTTTTATTTAGAACAGTCAAAGACTAGAATTACTTTATTACAGTTTAGAGTAAGAAGGGCCAAGGGCATCATGTTTTTAAAGGGCAATATTTCAGTGAGGTAGTTTATGTTAGTTACTTAGGAAGTTCAGGAACAACATGACCTCCCAATCCTATTTCCTGTGTCTTTAGTCAGACTTCAGTGTAGCCAATGTGAAGTTGGGATTGAATCATGAGATAATAAACTAATGCAGTAAGAGTGTTTGGCAGGTCAATATGGTAACATTCTTATTGATACTGTACATTGTTTGGGATTAATGTAGGGTTGCCACGTTGGATATGGGGCAGGACTTCTGTAACTTTAATCCGGAACAGATACCAGAGCAAGATGAATTACCTCAAAGCCCTACCAAGTCATTAAAGATACCAATCCTCCCTAGCTTTTCCAATCCAAATTTCAGCTGCAGTGTCCTCTCCAATATTCACTTGCTGATGGAGAATGGGTGAAGTCAGTGGACATAGATGGGCATCCACCTCTATTCTTGTACTTGACTCCTCTGTGCTCCTGTCCCACTTTCCCACCATATAGGAACCATTTTGGGATGTGATGCTTGTGGCTGAATTTGGTATTTAAAACGTAAGTAAGGATAGGTATCTTTGCCTGGTTTGATGGGATGTCATTTGAAAGAGTAGACTAATAAGAAATAAGAACATCAGATAGGAGGTGCAACATTTATAAATCTGTCCTTGCTGTTTGCACGTTAGTTTTGTTTTTGTATCTATCTGTATTTTTGTTTCGTATTTATATTCTGTTATTTTTAATAGGTATTAAGTTGTAGTCCTATAGTAGTAGTGGGTAGAATGTAGTTGTGTAGTTGTCATGGTCAGGTCCAATAGTGAGGACAAGGTGTTATTGGAAGGGTCAACAGAGGAGATGGAGATAAATAATTCCAAGCAGTCTTCCCAGCCTAGCTCAGCCACTGAGCATACAGCAGAAACAATCACTCCCCGGCATTCTGAGTAACCTGAAACAAGCACATCTGAACAGGTTTGGAGGCTAGGAGGGAGCGAGCAGGCTATTGCAGGTCTACGAGATTAGCAGCGAAACTATCATTAAACAAGCAACATTTGAGATTGTTGAATAAAAAGCCCGCGGCGTTGAGTCTTGTTGTGGCAGAGAACATCATTGTTTCTTGTCTTGAAGCCTGACTGCTACTCTTCTACCTACTGGGATTTCTGACCCTGGACTGTGACCTTGGCTTTCATTGTTTTCTGACTCGTTTGTTCCTGATTTGACTCTGTTGCTTCGGCAGGTTGACTTCAGCTACTTGGACTTTGGCTCACATATCTCTGTTTGTGGGTTGTACTTCTTGTTATTGGCTTCCAAGGACTCCTGAATTTGGCTTCTCTGATATTGAACTCTTGACTTTGGCTGACTCTCCTGTTGTTTGTTGAAACTAAGCTCCTCAAAATGTGGTCAAGCTCACAACAGTGGTTTTTAGTATAACTTATCTCAAAAACTTGCTTATTTGTTATATTAATACTTTTGTTCAGTAGGCATGGGGAGCCTTTGTGATGTAATGATTTGAGTGTTGGAATATGACTGGATCCCAGGGTTCAAATCCCTGCTGAGCCATACAAACCCCTGGGTTGATCTTGGGCAAGATACAAGTCCAAAGGAAGGCAAAGCAAAACTGCTATGAACAAACTTTAGAAAAATGTGTTAGGTTTGTCTTAGGATTGCTCTAAATTGGAAATGACTTGAAGATGCACAACAAGAAGAATGGATGGAAAATGGTTATCTGAAGAGGAGACTCCCAATACATTTCTGTATATATTTATCATGACTTCAACAAATTTAAAGATTTAGGTTTCCAGGATGTAGCTATAGGAGAAGCTGATTTTGTATGTGTATGTTTGTCTGATTGATAAATTGTTTATACCGCATTAGTAAATTGATTAAATTTAAATACACTTCTTCATGGGCTCTGAGAATCCACATGTATGCACATTATACCTACCCACCTTACCACATCTCTCATATGTTTATATGATGTGTCTGTGCATTTCATTAAATTAAATTCCTCTGTTTATTCTCATAATATTTTTGTATAAATCAAAATTGTTTCTCTGATTTCCAAGCAGAGGTTCTGGGTTGAATTCAAGGCATATTCGGAAGGGGAGGGCATGTCAGTTGCCTTTTTTGCCTGGTTGAACCCAAATCTTCTCCATCTTTAGTTTCAAATTAAGATGCTTGGAGTTCTTCTTAAATGTAGGACAATGCTGTTTCTTTTAGTACACATGGATATGAACAGCATATTTAATGAACGCTGGCAGTATATCTTGGAGATTGCTGCTTTCTGTGCCTCAAGAACTAGAAAATCTATGTTTGCTTTAAAATAGTAATATGACTTGCTTCCTGTTAAATGCCATCTTCTAACAAAATATTTAGGTTGGTTTTTGGTCCAGACATAGAGGAGACAGAACGCTAATAGTGAAAAATAGGTGTTAAAAATCTACCTACTATACCTGCTGCTAAATTTATAGATGGAGTTCTGGGAACTTCTACAAGTCATGGAAGAGTTTGCCAATTTGGTATAGTGAGAAAATTGTTGAAGACAATGCAAAAGTCCTTTCTTAGTAACTAGTTTAGCTCTTTTGCTGCTCAGTTTAATACAGTACAGGCACATGGCAACATCCTTCTTCCAACTTTTGTTATTATTTTTTTACCAGTGGTTTTTGCAATTAGCTTTTTGCTTTTAAAATAATTCATTCTTTGTTTTACTCTATGACTTCTTTCTTCCATACCTTAGAGAGCCAAAATGGTAGGTATTTGTAGGTTTCTTTTTCTTGGATTTTCAGGTGTGTGCACACATACTTGCCGGCATACAAATTAGCAAGATTAGACTCTTTTTAACAGTCTTGTCAGCACGTATCTCAGATATATCAGCTTGTACATTAGCCATTATGGAATTTTGATCTAACCCAGGAAGAAGAAAATAAAGTTCACTTGCTGCCTATTTGTTATTTCAAATATTTAGGCAGTCTTTAACAGCAGCTATCAAATTTGCTTTCTAGAAAAATGCAAATAACAATGCATTTCAAATAAAGGATAATGTACAAGACTCTAACAAATAATTGCAATTAAAATCAACAACAGCATAATTAAAAAGCCGCACAAAAAAGCATAAAGAACAAATGGGTTTTCGGAAGGCTTATAATCATGCATATTAGCAGACATGCATTCCTCAGTTGTGGGGCCATTAGAGAATACATTTTCTTTTCCTTTCAAGAGGTGCAATTCATATAATGATCTCACTGAACACTAAACTTTTGTGACCTCAACATATTGGGCACTAATATAGCTGGGCAGAAACAAATGAATGGTAAAATGCCTTGGAACCTTTTTTAAAAAGGGCAGTTCTGTCTCCACAAGTGGTAGACAGAACTGGGGAGGGGAGTGAACATGAACTTTTAAACTGAAGTCTTAGAAAGTTTCAACATGGTTCTTTTCCGTTAGAAAGCCAACTGTGTGAATGCAGAAGTACGGTTTTTGATTATTGAATCACCTTAAATTTAGTATAAGCAAGGAGGTTTAAGTATTAAATATGTTATGTCTACTTCTAGCTCTCAAAGTATAAGAGTAACTTGGTTGACCTTGTACAGCGTATGCTAGGAATACATTTTCATTAATTTTGTTTTCACTGAGGAAGAATGAATAATTTTATCATTTTTCTTTGCTGTGGGAAAGTTATCAAAACTGAAGAGTATGTGCAGTTTAGAAGTTCTATAGAATATAATTATGTGGAGGGGGTGGGTGGGAGGAACAGCATTTTCTGCACAGAAAACAACATTTGGGTCCAGAAATGTTAGTTTATTTTCCTGTTTCTGCTTCTTTGACCAGTGTGATTTGGTCCACTAAAGGTTCATACATTATAGGCAGAGAAAACTGGCTTCTACATAGCAGTCATCTTTCGAAATGCATTACCACAGGTACAGCTTAATTGCAGCCCCTGGAAGGTTTCATGGGCTAAAAGTTGATCTTTTGACACACACCTGCATGAAGGTAACTTACCAGGGAGTAATGAGAACTCATCTGTTTCACTTTAGCTATATCTGTGGCCAATTGATTTTGTTCTCTTTTTCTATCCCCTCTCCACCCACCTCTTGAGGAGCATTTTAGTTAAACTGTTAAATTACTGTCTTGTTCATATGGATGGCCATCATACCAGATGGCACCTCACTAGCATCTGGGTAAGTTACCCTAATGCAGGTGTGAGTCAAGAGATCTGTTTTCGACCAGTTGAATCTAAAATACTCTCAATTGGGGGGTAGGAGGATACAAAAATAGAATAAAATGAGTTTGAAAAAAATCGTATTTATTTGATGTTAAACTGCTCTGGTGCATGGAAGGGGTTTGCAGTGTATTTAATAGTGAATTTCTCCTGCTGAAAGTTGACAAAGACTGCTCATACTTACTTTTGTCTGAAAAAAAAAATGTGTTCCAATAGAGTCTGGGCCAGAAAAAACTGGTCAGAGTCCTATTTTGCCCACCCATGTCCCAACATACTATACCAAAAAAAGTATGTTTCATTTCTGTTTTTAGTAAATTGACCAGATTGTGTTATTAATTAATTTCAGACACCTGCACACAAGCATACGCATGTCTATGTATACAAATGTGTGAGTGTATCATATGTATTGTGTATACGTGTGTGTTTGTAAATATATCTATTGATATAAATGTAATTATACATTTTCTTACAGGAAAAGCATAAACTTGAGTTGGAAGACTTGAGGCGGGCTGGTCATGAAGCCTTAACTATTATTGTAGAAGAATTCAAGGTAAATGTTACATACCAACAATATTAAATTTCGGCAGTGTTACATTCCAGTTTTCAGTTGATTCCTAAATTTGTTCCCATTACTAGAAGATTTGTGTTTACTATGCTCCTCCTTTGAATTATAACTGTTTTCTCAATTCTAATCACTATAGTTGAAGTAGGTTGTGCCTTCTAAAGTTCTGAATTAAAGCAGGGATGTTTACAAGAGGTTTGACTATGTAATCATATATGTTAGCTTCATGGATGAAACTGGTTACTTGAAAGTATTCTCATGTTTCTGGTGTATGTGTAAAAAAAAAAATCACCTGCCTTCCTGTGTGTTATACTGGAACATGTACCCCAATGCTGACTGCTTTGACCTCTGACTGTAGGATGAAATGAAATGAAAATGAAAAGTTAGCAATTACAGGATTTTCCATATTTTTGTACTTTTATGTTTAAAGACCACCATCACTGATTCACCAGACTGGTATATTTTGTTTTGTTTTATTTTTAGGGAAGCTCAATTTAAGTGGAATAAGCAATAATAAGATGTTCACTTACATTTTCTGAATATTTTCCCACTCTTATTTAGACATGTTAACTAAAGTTTTTCATACATATTACTACTTTGAACTTTTAAATATTAGCTTAACCAATATTTCCCTTGGAAAATTCTCCTGCAAAATTATTAATGGTGGAAATGAAAGTCCTGTGTGGAATTAACAAAAACATCATACTCCATACAAGGCAAATGTGTTATTACTGTGCATTCTTAATTTGGCTTCAAGAGGTTTTATATGAAAGAGCACAAACTATAGACTTTCATGACTGGTTTAATGTGTCCAAGGGCCTGTGTTTATTAAAAAATCAAGCTCCATGTCCCCCCACCCCCCAAACAGTAAGTCATTTTTTAATCTAATGAAACTATCAATAGAATAGGAAACCTATAGTTCAAGAGGCAAAATAAAAAGTAGTTTTTTACTTTTAAAGTTCACAAAGTAGATTCACATTCCATTAGTATGGTCTCTCATACCTGTCGCTGGAATTCCTTTTGTCAGCTCTGTTTTATCCCCCTCCCCAATTAAAGCTATACTTCCAATGAGTTTTCTCAAGTCATGTTTCAATGAAAGATATATTTTCTGTGAACTAATGCAGACTTCTAGAACTGAAGGATGTAAACATTTGCTCAATTTACTCTGCATAAATAAACACTGGTTATGTATCTTTAACGTTTAGTAGAGGGGATATTACATGAGATGAATACACATGGAACAGGCTAAACAGTGCATAGATTGAGCTATAATGCTATCAAGGCTCAAAGCAATTATAGAAAATGGCAGTGAAGCTAAATATGTAAGGTATGAGGTCCTGCTGTATTCAGAATAATCTCTTATCATTCTCTTCTGCAGACTAAACATACACAGCTCCCTAAGCCACTACTCAAAAGGCATGGTTTCCAGTCTGTCTGCCATTTTGGTTCCTCTCCTCTAGACATAAAATCAAAGAGTTGGAAGAGACCACAAAGGCAATCCAATCTAACCCCCGCCATGCAGGAACACACAATCAAGGCACCCCTGTCAGATGGCCATCCAGCCTCTGCTTGAAAACCGCCAGAGAACGAATCTCCACCACTCTCAGAACCAGTTTATTCCACTGCTGAGCAGCTCTTACTGTCAGGAAATTCTTCCTAATATTTAGGTGGAATCTTTTCTCCTGCAATTTGAATCCATTGCTTCGTGTCCTATTTATTTATTTATTTATTTATTTATTTGATGCACTTATTGACCGCCGCTCTCAGCCCTAGGGCGACTCGCGGCGGTGAACAGCATATAAAAACAGTTTACAAAAAAGCAAAAGCAAGAAAATCACACAACAACAATACACAATACTGAAAGTTACACTAACTAATCCACTTCATCATATCATAGAATCATATCCAAAATCATAGTCCATGTTCCGTTCCAGATGTCAATTACCAGTTGCCGTATTATTCATTTGAATGCCTTCTCGAATAGCCAGGTCTTTAGGCTCCTGCGGAAGGATAACAGGGAGGGCGCCTGTCTGATGTCAACAGGGAGGTCGTTCCACAGCCGGGGGGCCACCACCGAGAAGGCCCGCTCTCTCGTCCCCGCCAGGCGTGCCTGTGAGGCAGGCGGGACCGAGAGAAGGGCCTCCCCAGATGATCTCAAGGTCTTCGTGGGCTCGTAGGCCGAGATGCGGTTTTCAAGGTATTTTGGGCCGGAACCGTTTAGGGCTTTGTAGGATAACACCAGCACCTTAAATTGGGCCCGGTAGCAAATCGGCAGCCAGTGGAGCTGGGACAGCAAGGGCGTTGTATGCTCCCTGCGTCCCGCTCCAGTTAGTAGCATGGACTAGTTGAAGCTTCCGGGCCGTCTTCAAGGCAATCCCACGTAGAGAGCGTTGCAGTAGTCAAGGCGGGATGTGACCAGAGCGTGTACCACCGTGGCCAAGTCAGACTTCCCAAGGTACGGGCGCAGCTGGCGCACGAGCCTAAGCTGTGCAAATGCTCCCCTGGTCACCGCTGAAACCTGGGGATCCAGGCTCAATGATGAATCCAGGGTCACACCCAAGCTGCGAACCTGCGCCTTCAAGGGGAGTGCGACCCCGTCCAGCACAGGCTGTAACCCTATACCCTGTTCGGCCTTGCGACTGACCAGGAGTACCTCTGTCTTGTCTGGATTTAATTTCATTTGTTCGCCCTCATCCAGACCATTACAGCGGCCAGGCACCGGTTCAGGACTTCGACAGCCTCCTTAGTAGCAGGTGGGAAGGAGTGACAGAGTTGGACATCATCTGCGTACAGATGACACCGCACCCCGAAACTCCGGATGATCTCACCCAGCGGCTTCATGTAGATATTAAACAGCATGGGAGACAGTATAGAACCCTGTGGAACCCCACAGGTCAAAGGCTGTGGTGTTGAACAGGAGTCCCCCAATAACACCTTCTGGGTACGACCCTCCAGAAATGACTGGAGCCACTGCAAAGCAGTGCCCCCAAGACCCATTTCCGCAAGGCGCCCCAGAAGGATACCGTGGACGACGGTATCGAAGGCCGCTGAGAGGTCCAGGAGCACCAACAGGGACACACTCCCCCTGTCTAGCTCCCGGCGCAGATCATCCACTAAGGCGACCAAGACCGTCTCGGTACCATGTCCTGGCCTGAAACCAGACTGTGCCGGATCCAGATAATCCGTGTCTCTCAAGAATACCTGGAGTTGTGAGGCCACCACGCTTTCCATGACTTTGCCCAAGAAGGGGAGATTGGAAACAGGCCGAAAGTTGTCCAATTTAGTGGGGTCCAGTGATGGTTTCTTCAACAGCGGTTTTATAATAGCTTGTTTTAAGCTCGCTGGAATCTTGCCTTCCCGAAGGGAGGCATTAACCACCACCGTTACCCACTCAGCCACTCCCCCTCTGGCCTCCTTCAGAAGCCAGGATGGGCAGGGGTCTAGGATGGACGTGGTGGGCCTCATTCCTCCAAGTATCTTGTCCACATCCTCGGGCTTCACAAACTGAAAAGAATCCATCAAAATAGGACAAGCAGGTGCTCGTGTCACATCCTCGGAGACTGCATTTAATATGGTGTCCAGACCGGAATGGATCAAAGCGACTTTGTCTGCAAAGAACCGAGCAAATGCTTCACAGCGCGTGGCCGAATTGTCAGGGCTCCCGCCTGAGGTGGCGGGAGTTAAAAGACCTCTGACAATCCGAAACAACTCCGCCGGACGGTTTTTTGCAGACGCAATAGTGGCCGCAAAGAAAGTTTTCTTTGCGGCTTTTATTGCCGCGGCATATGCCCTTAGAAAGGACACAAACCGTGCTCGATTTGGCTCGCTTGGGTCCGAACGCCACACGCTCTCTAGTTCCCTCTTCCTTCGCTTCATCACTGCCAGCTCCTCAGTAAACCAAGGAGCTGGTTTAGCTCGGCTACTTGAGAGGGGACGTTCCGGAGCGATCATGTCAATTGCCCTGGCCATCTCCCCATTCCAGAGAGCGACCAAGGCCTCGACATGGTCACCTACCGGAGGCGGGAAAATCCCCAAGAGCCGTCAGGAATCCATTCGGATCCATAAGCCTCCTGGGGCGGACCATCTTAATGGGTCCTCCACCTTTGTGGAGGTTAGGGGGTGCAGTGAGCCTAAATCTGATCAGGAAGTGGTCAGTCCATGGCAACGGAGAGATAGACAACTCCTCCACACCGCCACCCTGCTCCCATCCCTGGCAGAAAACCAAGTCCAATGTGTGTCCAGCACAATGAGTGGGGCCAGATATTTGTTGGGACAGCCCCATGGTTGCCATGGCAGACATGAAGTCCTGAGCCGCTCCTGTGAGGGTCGCCTCGGCATGGATATTGAAGTCTCCCAGCACGATAAGCCGTTGAGACTCCAACGCCAGGCTCGAGACTACCCCCGCTAGCTCAGGTAGGGAGACTGTAGTGCAGCGAGGTGGACGGTACACTAGCAGAATCCCTATTCTGTCCCGGTCACCCCCCCTTAGGTGGACACATTCAAAATTTGTGGTCTGCGGGATGGGGCTCCTGGTCAGATGGATGGAATCTCTATAGACCACTGCAACCCCGCCTCCCCGTCCTCCGGATCTTGGTTGGTGCTGTACGGAGAAGCCTGGAGGACAAAGCTGGGTGAGATTCACCCCCAGCTTCATCCAGCCAGGTCTCCGTAATGCACGCCAGATCTGCCCGCTCATCCAGGATTTAAATCCTGGATAAAGGTCGTTTTTCCGTTGACAGATCTGGCGTTCAACAGCACCACCTTCAATCCAGAGGGCGCCCGCTCTCCTGGTTACACCAATTTACCTTAGGAGACCGATTTGGGGTTATCAATGTAGATACATAGTCCGAATTAGGCCGAATTCGATGTCTCCTTTTTCCGCATCTCCTCCTTCCCACCACGACCTCTATGGGGGCCCCTCGGCTAGTGGAACACCTCCCCTCCTCCATGCCGCAATCCGAAACCAAGGTCTTAGTCTCTGTTTCACT